ATAAATATATAGATATGCCCTTCTACTGATCCTATATTAATGTTTTAACGATGAGCTTGCCTTGCTGCAAGTCGAGAGAGACAAATATTAAACACATATAGCTTTGCTTTTGACTCAACAATAACATTATGAAATTCTTCATCAACATTTGCCTAATATCCTTGAGTTCTAATAAAATGCTCTCCGCTATTCTTAATCAAGTCAATGTCATGTTTTTGAAAAGTATTACATAAAATAGTTGTCAAATTAAATAATATATTCTAATGAGAAAAAAAATTTGGAATAAGCATTGAATCCAATAATTTTCTTGCTTCTGAGGAAATATTTCTTTCAGGCCATTGTGATATTTCAGTAATAGCAAATAATCGGCTCTTCTAACTCCATAAAAGCTGTTACTGCTTGATGGCAGAGAGTCTATCTCGACAAAGTTGCAATTTTTTTCTCCAAGAAGTTTAAGAAATAATTATCATTTGACTAGAAATTTGAAAATGCTAGATAAATATTACGCCAATAAAAATTTGAAAATAAAGTAAATATTATGCCGGAAAACTTGATATCGAATTTATTGATAAAATAACTTAGTAGATGAATGTGATAATAAATGTAATTAAATATATATTTAATGAGAAAAAAGGATAATTATAAGGCTAATATTTAAAGTAGAATGGTTATTAGAATGGTCGCACAGGATGTAATATAGGCTAATGAAATGAATTTATAAGGCTTGAATATTTAATCTAGAATGGTTATTATAGTCATTTGATATTTTATTTATCTAATTTATAAAAAGAAAAAACAATACAAGTCATTCTATATCAGAAAAAAAGTGATTCAAATAAAAATATATATTTGTTTATATATATTCTGTTGCCTTAAGATATATATTTGAACTTTTAAATATATATTATTTAAGTATATAATAGTTTAACTGACATTTTAAATATAAATCATTTTAGTAAGTAATAAAATCATAGCGCACATGCAACAATATTTAATATGAGATAGGAATAAATATTAACAAATATAAATTAATATAAATTAATAAAAACAATAATATTTTTGATAAATATATCCGGCATCTGCATTTTTTGGCTTTAGGGGGGGGGGGGTTGCCCCCCTACTGCGTACGCGCCTGATTCCCCATCAAGCAAGTATATCTCTTTAATGATAGTTCTAAAATACCTGATGGTATTATTTCAATACCTTACTAATGGTATTATTTCGGTATCACTCATAGGCGTAGACAGGGGGGGGGGGGGGTAAGGAGAAATTCCCCCCCCCTTCAGAAATTTATCACTTTTTGTAAATATCATTTTTAGCTAATAAAAAATATCCCCCTTAGTCCTCCCCCACTCCCTGACCCTTAAATATGTATGCATATATCTTAAATAATAATTTGAAAGAAAGAATGTAAAAGTTGATATTTTTTTATAAAACTATTCATCATAATTTATAATATATAATGAACCAAAAATGTTTTTAATAAATGGAATATAAGCCAAAGATAAGTCTTAAGACAGAAGTGAAATGTATTATAATTATTAATAATAGATCCATAAAATTACTAAATAATATAATATATCAAATATAATTTTTTATAAAGTGAGTAATTTTAATTTATTTATCTTAATAAAAGTAAAATATAATTATAAAACTATTGATAAAATTAAATCATAAATTAAAAAAATATTAAAGCACAATACAAACAGTGGAATATTATATGTCGTAGATTTACAGTATATCTAATTATCAAATGACAATCAAGTAATTTTTACCAATATAGCGAATTATATATTTTACAGAAAACTAAAATATTGATAAGGACAACAGAAAATATCTTAAGACATAGTGGGATGAATAATATGAAGATTAAATTTTAGTATTATTTTTACTTAAAATAAATAGATGGCGTTAAATAATTGAATGCAAATTGTTGCTATATTTAATATCAAGAGCATTGATTAGTAAAATTTGTTAAATTATTAACTGTAATATATTCTCTAACTGTCAAATATGTCTGTAAAAGTGGAATTTTACCTAGTTTTTTTTAACTAATTCTATATAATAGAGTAAAATCAACTATATGTCTACTTACTTTTTATAAATAAATTTCTTATAATTGTTTTGGAATAAATTATTACCATGCTCTTATATTAAGGTATATACAATACAAGTAATTTATTATATTTTTATTTTATATAAACTAATAAAAATATATTTCATATTTGTGATTATTATTTTTTTTATTAAAATTTGTAAAAATATTTTATGACTATATATAGACTAAAGTAACCTGGCCGAAGGCCGCGGAAAAGCGGGCAGAAGGCCCGCCCAAAAGGGGGTCTGGGGACGAAGCCCCCAGTAATTTTTTAATTTCCCCCCCCCCTTATGAAAATCCTGGCTACGCCTTTGGGTATCACTAACCGTAACCGAGTTATATCCAAATTCAAATCACTAACTACAAGCGTTTATTTTAATAACGGTTGAAGACCTTAATCCAAAGACCATATTTGTAGGCATTAAATACTTCAGTATACAAAACAGATAGAAAAGACATCTAGAAATTGACTCTCTAACTCTTCTACTTACCGAGAAGGGCTTAACTCTATGAAGCCGAAACCCTACTCGGTATGTAGAGTTACATTATAAATTTCTACAAGTATACTGCAGATAGAAATCCTGAAATCCCTATTTCCGAACCTCATAGGATTTTTCATCCTCTGCTTATCATAATATTATGTTTCTATAGATAGATATGAACAATTATATCGAAGCTCTTCTCTAGAAAATATCAAAACGACTAAAAAAGTTATTTATAAAAATACAAGTCCAACTCCATTTGGTAAAAGATAATATAATTCTCAAGCGTGATCACTTTTTCTTTTTTTTATATCAACGGAACACTAAAAAATGATATAAGTTTCATCTTTATTGCATTCATAATTTGTCAGGTATAAATTTGACCTTGAAATATTTATTGTTGATGCTCAATTAAATTTTGACAAAATTCCAAAACTTTTCTATTTTGCTCATAACTCACGAAGGGTTCATTCCACTGGTATATGGTTTAAAGATTCTGGAGGATCAAATAACGCAATACACTTTGGCATGATTTTCGATAATTGGATCTCACTTTCTAAAAATAATTCCGCTAACTTCACGTTTTGAAAACAATGGTTATAACTCGGTTATGATTAGTAATACCGATATCCGGTTTGGAGATTATTAACGAACATATTGAATACTAAGTAATTGCCATTCAAAACAAAATCTTTTTTATTTTAGGTTTTGGCAAAGTGCCAACACTTTCTTATTTTGATTATAACTCATTAACAGTTTATTTCGCTGTTTTCCGGATACAAGATCAATTAGGATCAATCAACGGGCTACACAATGGTATAAGTTTTGGTATTGATCCTCAAGTCGCTCCGCCAGCTTCCCGTTTTTAAAACGGTTATAACAAGTTTACGGTTAGTGATACCGATATTCTGTTTGGAGATTATTAACTTACATATTGAATACTAGATAATTTTTAAGTTTCAGAACCATCTTATATATTTTCGGTTTTGGCAAATTACTAGACACTTTCTTATTTTGCTCATAACTCCTCGGTAATTGATCCTCAAATCGTTCCGCCAGTCAAAATTCACATTTTCTTTATTTTGTTAACATTATTTTTGAAGAATTATGAGGATCAATTAAGGCACTAAATATTGGCTTTAACTAAAAGATGTTTGCTTGAATTTTAAATTTTGGTATAATGCCAAAACCTTTCTGTTTTGCCTATAACTCACGAACGGTTCATTAGGGCACTTTAAAGTATCTGGAGGATCAATTAACACTCTACATTTTGGCACAATTTTGGGTAATTGATTCTCACTTTTTAAAAAAAATCCATTAACTTCACGTTTTTAAAACAGTTATAAATCGGTTGCGGTTAGTGATACCGATATCCGGTGTTTCAAAACATGTTTTTTTTACTTTCGGTTTTGGCAAAGTGCCAACACTTTCTTATTTTGCTCATAACTCAGTTCATTTCACTTCTTTCTGGATAGAAGATCAATTAACGAGCTACACAATGGTATAAGTTTCGGTTGATCCTCAAGTCGTTCCGCCAGCTTCAAAAATTCACACTTTTAATATTTTGTTGATATCTCACTTTCCTTTAATTCTTATGGCATTCCGTTTGAAGAATTCGGAGGATCAATTTAGGCACTAAATATTGGCTTATGATTGTTCGAATTTTAAATTTTGGCAAAATGCCAAAACCTTTCTATATTGCTTCTAACTCACGAACGGTTCAACTCCATTAAAGTTAGTGATACCGATATCCGGTTTGGAGATTATTAACGTACATATTAAATACTAAATAATTGCCTTCAAAACATGATCATTTTTATTTTTTTCCGGATAGAAGATCAATTAACGGGCTACAAAATGGTATAAGTTTCGGTAATTCATCCTCAAGTCGTCCACCACCTTCAAAATTCACACATTCCTTATTTTACTTATAACTCATTAGCCATTGTTTCCGCTGATGTCTGGTTCGAAGATCAATTAAGACTCTAAATATTGGCATAGATTTTGTTAATTGTTCCTCAAGTCGTTCCGCCAACTTCACGGACCTGAAATTTTTTTTAGATTGTCTGCCTCAATGTAAATATTGTATTATTAATCCTTTTAAATTGATAATATTTTATTTGAATAAAGTATTATATAAAAAAAGATATAAAAATTTGATGTTATATTATCTGCAAAAAGAAAAGTATTTTAAATCTAATTAATGACATTCAGTTACTATTATTAAACTTAATTTAATCGAATTTTCAAACGTCGATATTTTAGCCAAAAGCAAATTACCAAACCTTTGGCCACAGATGTCAAGAATGTTTAAATAAGATAATTAACTTTTAAAAAATACTTAATAATTTGTGAAATTAAATTTTTTATTTTTTGATTTGAAATATTGATTTTTATGGCACTGATTCAAAAAAAGAAGGTAATAATTGGATCAGTATCATCAGTTATCAAATCAAGCTTTTAGATATCAATTAAATAATAAATTTAAGCACCGGATAAGGAATTCAAAGTCTATTCTAAGGAACAGGTTTTATATTTTAAATTTTGTTAAAAGGAAAATATAATAAATTAGATATTAAAAAATAATCATGCCCCAGAACAAAAATCATTTGACAGATTAAATATTTTTCAATATCAATGTTGGGCAGGCTAAAAAATTGAGAATGAGCAAGCTGATATTTTCAAAAACCATGGATAGGCAGGTAAGCTTAAAAAATTGAAAATATAAATGTATTTTTTACAAAAATTATGGGCAGGCAGGTTTAACAATAGGCAGATAGAGCTGTGTTAAAAACCCACTCATTGCAGATCACTATTACTCTACTTTTGTCACTAATTATAATCTTAATTCTTATCCAGAAATTTATATGGTCCAACTTACAAAAAATGAGAAAGTAACAATCAAATTTTTTGGGTAATTTTTTATAATATATCATTGAGTCTAAAAAAATTATAATTATTGTATAAATTTTGGAATTAAACATATTTATTAATAATAAGCCATAAAATAAGAGTTTACATTATTATTATACAAGGGTTATTATAAACTTATAAATTGGAATTGACTTAAAATATTGCAATATATACATTTTGATATATTTAGTAGTTTAAGAGAGAGAAGTTAAAAATGAGATTTATTTTAAGTCTTAATTTCTTTATTCTCTTTTACATCATCAATTTTTTCTTCATGTTCTCCTGATCCTAATTCAGGTAAATCTAAAATAGAAATAAAAATATTTTCTAATATTAAATATATCACCATCCTCATCATCTTCTTCACTTTCAGGCATATCATCATCCTATATTTAGATATTTATTATATAAACAATTAATATAATTTACTAAATCTCCCAAATCTTGTTTCCCATCTAAACCACCCATCTTGTGCATCATCTTTGATAATAAATTATAACAAATGAATTTTATAATAAAATTAATACTGATTGCAGGTCAAAATCTCCAGCTGGACTAGCTGATTCTCCCATTTCATACTCTGAATCATCTTCATCTTTCCATTTTTGAAAATCTGTTCTAACAAATGGTTGCTAAATTATATTTATGGATATTGCAAAAATAGTATTTCTTACTTTTTTATCTTTTGTTAAGGATGGCCAAAATGGTCCTACTTCTTTTTTTGTAAGAACAAATTCAATATTTCTAGGGCGTATAGTATGTTTCGATTTCTAATTTAAATAGAATTAAACCAATATTTGTAAATATTAATACATCTGGGTCAATTTCTTCATAAAACTTAATATTAAAAGAATAAGGTTTATGTTCAGATCCACCAATTCCTCTATAATAAAATTTAAATATTAACAAAATAATCCATTTCATACTTGAATTTTAATTCATTTGTATTTAAATCAATTTCGGGATTTTTACAATCTTCGACGCAAACAGTTAAATACACTACATCAGATCTTTGGGCCCATAGAAGAGCTGGGTGAAGGAGCCTATATTAAAAAGGAATGTGGGTTTATCCTTTTGTAAGTTACTGTTTAAGCTTTAAATCTTCCGGAGTAGGCATATAATATTTTAATTGAAGGAAATCAAATTTTAAATGGTTGCTATATGGATAATATGAACCGAACAAATTTTCGAGAAAGACGTTACATGTATGTACAGTATTTATTAAATTAAATAGTTTAATATTTAATATTAATTATATTAAATAATTCAGATAAATTATTATATTTTGATAAAATTTTAAGAATAAGTGTTAATTTTAATAAAACCTTAACCTTATCTAATGTATAATGTTATTAACTTTCAGGGTTGACAAAAGGTACTAAAATTATATTCAAGGATACTTTTAAAACTTTTGTGTCTAAGATACATGGAAATTTTTAAAATATACAAGATATTGTATCTTTTTCCAAAAAAAAATGACTATGTTACAAGACATTAAACAATGAAATTTTATATAATTCAAAAAAAAACTTTTCTAATAAATGACTAATAATTATAATTAACTATTTAGAAAATTACCTGGATTGAATTAGAACATTTTATTATTTTTAAAATTATCCCATTATATTTTTAATCAATTTAGATAGTTCCATCGTTTTTTACAATTTATTACATTTCCTTTAAATATTTTTAAGTTAGATTTCTTCAATAAACCTTTTAGTGAGTTTGCAGTTTCTTGAGGAGCAATGTAATGCAGTATTTGTACCTGCTTGATTTATTGGCATAATTATTTCTGCAATATCCGATGAACTTTCATGACTCATGAGTCGGATAATTGAACGATCTCTTAGCTGATCTGCGTGTTTCCGCAATGTTCCTTCGGTTGTTTCAACAATGTATGAATATAACCCTGTCCTTTCTTTAATCACTCTCTTTCTCCAACTTTTGGTGTTTTCATTGTTTAACCACACAGGTTACTTTGTCTTTCATTTGCCTCTTCAATTTTATGTTATACTTTAGTCTTGTCCAGTTTTCAATTGTCTCCAAAACATAATCTTGGCAGGAGATCTCCCTTTTAGAGCTATGCTCCCCCAATCGAAAGGTTGTTAAAACCTGAATCAAAGCTTTTTCTGGATCAGAAATTGGCTCTATCGTTGCATCATATCGACTTTTCAAAGTTCGTATTGTACGCACAGCTAATCCATAAGTTTTCGGATGATAGGGTGTCAAACGTATATGACGTATTTTATTTAATTCACAGTAACGACGGAATTCTCCATATATGAATTGTCGTCGATTATCTGACAATGTACTTGGGTATTCATAACCTAGTAAACCATTTTTTTTAATCGTTAAATCATAGCATCAGCAAAGGTATTCTGCATTCGATCAATCTTCTAGGTATTTGGAGTAGGAATCGACATCAATTAACCAATATCATGAATTCACTGGTCTAGCAAAATCATTATGGATTCGCTCCCAAGATTCCTTACCAACAGTCCAAGAATACAGAGATACTTCTTGAATTCATGGTCTATTTTTCTGGCATCCATAGCATATTTTGATAAAATTTTATATATCAAAATCACATCTGGGCCACCAACAATACAATCTAAAAATATATTTCATTACATTTTCCCGAGGATGTCCCCGATAAATCATTCCTAACACTTAATTTCTTAATTTAATAGGAAAAACCAATCTCCCATTCCATTCTATAATATCACGATTGGTAGAAAGCTTTTCCCGTCGATTATATAAATTAGCAATTCCTTTATCTTTATGACGATCAAAGTTTCGCTAACTTTGCTGAATATGTATTGCTATTTTTTTAATTTTAAATCTTGCTTCGACTCTTTTCGTATAATATTTTCTGACAATTGCATGTCATCTAAATTAAAACTTCGAATCTCCAAAGCATGTTTAGAAAATTGATTCTCTTCCATGTCTAATATCGGAAGCCTTCATAAATTGTTGACGATTACATTTTTATTAACAGGTCTATATTCTATTGTAAAATGATAGAAAGCAATCTTCCAGGCCCTACATGTCAAACGATTATTATAAATTTTAGGTAGATCTCGTTTCCACCCAAATAATTGCTATAATTTGTTATCAGTTCAAAGTAAAAATTTTCTACCATAAATAAATAAATAAAATTTTTCAATACCATATAAAAATGATGTTCGAGCTTCTTTATTAATCGAAGTGTAATGTTTCTCTGATTCTAATAGAGTACGCAACGCGAACGAAATAGGTTCTGTCTTTTCGCCCACTAATTGATGTAACAAGACAGCCCCATATCCTGAATCAGATGCTTTGCATTCCGAAATTATAGGAAACTGCGCGTTATAATAAATTAACGTTTCCTCGGAAGACAATATTTTTTTAACCTCATCGAAGTTTGTTCATCTTTCGTCTACCGCCAAGGTACTTTCATACTCTTTAATCTATGTAATAGCGTCGTAGATTACGAATAAACGTTTATGAAAATTCACGAGTCCTAAAAAAGATTTAAGTTGTTGTATATTCTTAGGTTTTGGTGCATTTCGGATAGCCTTCACCTTTTCTGGATTAGGAAACCGAATTTTTTAATAATCACCCCTAAAAATGAGGGAGATGATAGACTCTATATTTTTTCTTATTTATACGCATTTTCTGAATCGATAAAAAGTTGGTTAATGATGCTTGGTACCAAAGGCAGTAACGAGCAAATAGCGATTTTACAATTTTTATTTTGATGGGTACTACCAATTGTGTATTTTTATTTTTTAACGATACGAATCAAAAACGAAACTAGTATATGTCCGATATGAAACTATTTTATAATTTTTTTAACAACAATGGAAAGCCATTTTGATTTAGGATTAAACGATAGTCAGGTAATATTAATATTTAGATAAATACATAAGATAATATAATTATATCTTATAATCTTTATATCTATAGATCAGTCAATACATTTCATGCAATTATTTCTTAATAGACTATCAATCAATACAAATGTGATACTTCAAACAATATTTTCTTAAATTATACTTATGCAATATGATTATACTTATTAAATATTTTGCAATATGATTATACTTATTAAATATTTTGCAATATGATTATACTTATTAAATATTTTGCAATATAGATTATACTTATTAATTTTTTATGATTCATAGACAAATAATAAATAGATGAAATACCTTTGCTGAGGCTAAATTTTTTAGAGAAGTAATAACAAAAACTTAAGTTTGTCTAATTATATAAATTTAAAGATGTAATAACAAAATTAAAACTTAAGTTTGTCTAATTATATAAATTTAAAGATATAATAACAATCAAAACTTAAGTTTGTCTAATTATATAAATTTAAAGATATAATAACAATCAAAACTTAAGTTTGTCTAATTTTATAAATTTATAGATATATAACAAAACATAAGTTTGCCTTATATAAATTTTTATAACATACTAATGATTACTTTTAATGTGGTTCACAGTTATTTTTGTATAAAATAATATGCTTGATGACTATCTCATTAATTATTTTATTAATCACAGCTAGAATATGTTTGCACAATACAGTATACTTTTACTGGATTTCAAGTTAAGACAGCTCTATCAGATCAGGGCCAAACTTTTTTTTCTTAACTAAGCTGCAAGACAATTATTACTTTTTGTGTAAGATTCCATGATTTTCCTTATATTATTCTATTAATATCTTCTGTTTTCATTCAATTATTAAGGTTAATTGTTGGTACAAGTATAATATCATTTGACACTTAACCATTTATTAAACCTAATTTTAATATATTTCTTATTTTTTTAGATAATAAATGGAATATTTTAGGCTCAGATAAAATTATAAAGATATCTTAGACTGGGCTATTTGTTAAAATTTATACATCATATGACAAATCAATTTTGATAAAAATGCTAATTTGTAATCACTTGAACAAAATCTTGATTTTAAAATTTACATGTTATTTTAATTTTATTAAAATCATTTCTACAGGCAAGAAATTAAAATTAACAAATATTTTAATGTTTTACTCCAGAATGGAAACCTCAACTAATACCCAATAGGCCCTTTATGTAGTAGAAAAAGGCATAAATATAAGATTATATATCATAATGGTTAATTATTTTAATTAAACTTTATTATAATTTTAAATCAAAGATGTGCTAATATTTGTAATTTTCTCAAAAAATAATAATAAACACATAATTTATTTATTCTACTTAATCATATCATATAATTTATTATAATTATACATTTATTTAAAAATATGTAATATAAAAAAATATATATTTATTTCTTTAAAAAGCATAATGTTTTTATAGAATTTCAGAATTTTCATCTTGATTTTTGAAGGAATTTGTGGTTACAATTTTTGACAATTGATAAGTTGGTAAATTTGTTTTATTTCTTAAACCTATAAATAAAAAGTAAGTTATAATAAATTTCATATTTACTTAAAGAATTAAAATATTAATATGATATTGAAAATAATTTAGTTACCAGAGTTTTGAATAACATCTATTGCTTTGGGGGTCCCATATTTTGAAAGTGATTGATTAAATTTACAAAAACAGGTTGCAACTCAGATACTGCTATTCTATTATTCTTTGGGAGAGAAGCTATAAAAAATACAATAATGCCATAATAAATATATATTTTACTGAGAGGATTTTTGTTCATTTTATTTTCCTTGCCTAAATAAAAATATTCAAAAGATAAAAGATAATTTAGTTACCAGAGTTTTGAATAACATCTATTGCTTTGGGGGGTCCCATATTTTGAAAGTGATTAAATATTTAATAAGTATAATCATATTGCATAAGTATAATTTAAGAAAATATTGTTTGAAGTATCACATTTGTATTGATTGATAGTCTATTAAGAAATAATTGCATGAAATGTATTGAATGATCTATAGATATAAAGATTATAAGATATAATTATATTATCTTATGTATTTATCTAAATATTAATATTACCTGACTATCGTTTAATCCTAAATCAAGATGGCTTTCCATTGTTGTTAAAAAAATTATAAGCTAGTTTCGTATCGGACACATACTAGTTTCGTTTTTGATTCGTATCGTTAAAAAATAAAAATACACAATTGGTAGTACCCATCAAAATAAAAATTGTAAAATCGCTATTTGCTCGTTACTGCCTTTGGTACCAAGCATCATTAACCCATTAATGGTCAAGATTTTTCT